GCCTGCCTTGCCGCTGGCTATCCCCGCTTCAGTCGATCCTGAACACGGCTGCCAGACTCATTCACCTTTCCAACCGCTCTGTCTCCGCCACCCCCCTCTGCCAATCCCTCCACTGGCTTCCGATTGCGCAACGGAGCAAATTCAAAATCCTAACACTGACGTACAAAGCCGTCCACCATACTGCCCCGAACTACATCACTGACCTAATATCCAAGTACCCCCAACAGCACGCACACTCCGCTCCTCACAAGACCTCCTTCTCTCTAGTTCCCTGGTCTCCTCCTCCCATGCCCGCCTCCAGGACTTCTCCAGGGTGTCACCCATCCTCTGGAACTCCCTGCCCCAACCCATCAGATTATCACCTACTCTCCTCTCCTTTAGGCGCACCCTGAAAACCCATCTCTTCAGGGAAGCCTACCCCACCCCCTGCTAACTTGCCGACCTCCTCCACTCTTCCTATCACTCCATCCCCCACAGCCATCTCCTCCTGTACCACCACCCCCCCCTCCTAGATTGTAAGCTCGAAAGAGCAGGGCCCTCGATCCCCTCATGTTTTGCATTGTATTGGTATTGTTCTGTCACATGTTCTGTCCCCCTTTGTAATGTACAGCGCTGAGCGAACTATTGGCGCTTTATAAATACTGTATAATAATAATAATAATAATGTGGTTGCATCCCATTGTTCTATTGTCTGTCTGGCTTGGGAGCAAACTATTATGGGATGTATGTGTTTATGTGTATTGGCTGGGTGGGGGGGGTGTCTTCAGCAGCCCTCCCTCCTGATGGGACTGTCTGTCGGTGTGTCTCTTTTTACTAAGTGTAGATTGCCCCGCCCAGGGTCATTATGTAGGGAGGGGGGACTGCCCCCTGGGTGTATATATCTTGTATCTGTGTTCAAATAAACTAGTCTGCTTCCTGGTTTTCTTCAGAACTGGTGTCGTCTAGTCTTGTTTTTTTGGCTGTGGTCGGTCAGTGTTCGGAGGGTGAAGCGGTATTATAATGGAAGTACCCAAGCGCAGTCTGGGGTCGGTTTCTGTTACACTAATTATTTATTTGGCTTTGTTTTGGCTCATTCTTAGTTTCGCTGATTTGTTGTACAGTTTATGCTGAAAATGCAGCACGGTGCTTTGAATGGGACCAAAGAATGAATAAAATGATACCATCCAATAGAGATAATGGGGAAAAATAGAGCACTCCCGATGAAATGAAATACAGGCATACCTCGGTTTACAAATTTAATGCGTTCTGCGGGACTTTTTATATTGCGAAAAGTTTGTAAACTGAAACGCGGTTTCCTATAGGAATGCATTGAAAACCAATTAATCCGTTCCAGACGGCAGAAAAAAGTTAAAATAAAGTCTCATCTGTTCAAAACTCTTTATAGAGTGCACTTTAAAGGCATAAATACTGCACAGGGACATGATAAAAAAAACCCAAAATTTGTAAATGCATTGAAAACCAATTAATCCGTTCCAGAGGGAAAAATATAGCACTCCCTATGAAATGAAATGAAATACAGACGTACCTCAGTTTACAAATGTAATGCGTTCTGTGGGACTTTTTATATTGCGAAAAGTTTGTAAACTGAAACGCGGTTTCCTATAGGAATGTATTGAAAACCAATTAATCCGTTCCAGAGGTCAGAAAAAAGGTAAAAAAAAAAAGTCTTATTTGTTCAAAACTCTTTATAAAGTGCACTTTAAAGGCATAAATACTGTACAGGGACATGATTAAAAATTAATTTGTAAATGCATTGAAAACCAATTAATCCGTTCCGGAGGTCAGAAAAACTCAAAAAAAATCTTATTTTTTCAAAACTGTACAGAGACATGATAAAAAAAAATCGTAAATACATTGAAAAACAATTAATCCATACCGGAGGTCAGAAAAAAGTTAAAATAAAAGTCTTATTTGTTCAAAACTCTTTATAAAGCGCACATTAAAGGCATAAATACTGTACAGGGACATGATTAAAAATTAATTTGTAAATGCGTTGAAAACCAATGAATTAGTTGCAGAGGTCAGAAAAAAGTAAAAAAAAAAGTATTTGTTCAAAACTCTTTATGAAGTGCACTTTTATATGCATAAATACTTTTACAGGGACAGGGATTAAAAAAAAAATTTGTAAATGCAATGAAAACCAATTTAATCCGTTTTTTATATTGCGAAAAAAATTTTGAAACCGAAAATTCCGTGAACCGAGGCGTCGGTAAACTGAGGTACGCCTGTACACGGTTTCAGTTGCCCAACACACATTTCTTCCGTTACCTCCAGTTTAGACACGTTTTCCATGCCCAGTTTGGCACCTCTGAGCCCTTCTGGTGAGGGACTTGAAGACACCTTTTCTAGAGCACTGTCGAATATTTATGTAGCACTACCCCCCTAGGGGTCACTGTTGAATTTGGGACCCCCTATACTCCTGCACAGCCAGTCAGTTAGCCTTCTCCACACAAGCACAAGAAATCAGGCCTTGAGCGTAGTTTTTTTTTTCTATTTTATTGAGGGGATTAAACTTGGATGGGGTAAGGGGTGCATAGGATGCTCGAAGGAACTGAAATCTGAGGACAACTTCCTGAACTATGCACAGCTTCCCTTCTCTGTCACAGTCTCTGTTGGAGTGCTGCTCCAGTTGTACCACCCCAGACCCCAGATGAACTCCTCTTCACCCAGCAATCTGGAGACTTTCTTCCTGAGCAGGGGATCCGGCTCCTGTTTCTATAAGTGAATAACAGTCACTAGCAAAGATCTAATCTGGTTTCTCACCAGAGTGCTCCTTTCCATATCTGCCCAGGGGGTGTTGGTGTACTCACTCAGATCATCTCCTGTACCACTTGTGGAATGACTGCTGCTACCAGGTCTATCAGCTGGGCTGCTCCTTTCCTGCCACACAGGTGGTCCTATGCCAGGGGGACAGTGAGTCCTGAGTTTTCCTCCTTTCCAGCTCCAGGCTCGCAGGCAGGCCTCGTCCCACTAGGCCTCCTGACAGTGTCAGGAATGGACTTGTGGGCTGCAGGTATGGCCAGCGGGTGCTTCAGCAACCAGAGGTTCACTTCGGCAGTTAGCCATCACCTGGGGCTGATTGCAGGTGTGTTTAAGGGATGGCCAGACCTGCAGTCTGGGCCTTGGTGTGTGTTTTTTCCATGGGCCCTGTACCTTGTAAACCTGTGTTCCTGTTCCTGAGTTCCTGTAGTACGTTCCTTGTTGCCGACCCTGCCTGTTCTGATCCATGCTGACATTCTCCTGCTCTGACCCCTGGCTCGTCCCTGACCATCCTTCTGCCTGATCCTCTGTACCGTGCTGCCCGTGAGTTACTGAACCCGGCGTGTGACCTGACTACCCTTGTCTGCTGCTTGTACCGTGCCTGTCCCCACCGTTACTGACCCGGCTAGTCTGACCACGTCGCTCTTGACTGTCATCCATCCATCCATCCCGCTCGGACCTGGACCTGCCAGCACTCTCTACCACAGCCGGACGCACTCGGGGGTCGCGACCTGGTTCCAGACTGCACCAAGTCCATCCCACCATCAGGGGCCCTGGTGAATAGCAGGTTGGGACTTAGACCCCGCGCCCTGAGGAAATCCATGCTGTGGGCTTGGCCTGCCTGACCACTCCACCTCTCCAGCCCTGACTGCACTGTGTACCTATTGGTTTGTTTGTTTGTTTGCACTGTGTACCTATTAGCTTAAGGTTAGCTGGTTTGCACTGTGTTTGTTTATTTGTGCAGCTAATAATAAATATTATTATTATAACATATCTGAAGCCTGCATTTCCCTGTGTCAGTCCACACACCTCTGGTCATACCCAGAGCCCTGACAGACAGCCTTCTACCTCAACCTTACATCTTCCTCCCTCTTCTTCCACCCGACTCTCCTGCTACTAAGCAGGCTCCAACACTTTTTTAAGGGAGATCAGCCCCTTGTCAAGCCTCCTGATGGGCATTGGATGAAACCCCTCAAAAGTGCAGCCAACCACTCCTCAGATCCACCCACTACCTCCAAGGCCCTTCTCTGAAAGCCTCAGAGCAGGGGGAAGTTCCGGAGGGGCTGGCCTGCAGAGTCTCTCAGTCCTGACCAGAATCTGACCCCTCTGACCATCTCTATTGAGCTACTATTCAGCTCCTTTCCAGATATCAAGGTCTAGCTCCCCTAGCTAATTTCGATGTACATACCCTCAAATTAAACCTGAGAGTGCGCACTTTCATCCCATATCCATTATAGAACTAGAGCTTGAATGTGTTTTGGTAAATACCTGAAAAAATCTAAAATTGTGCCTGCGTCCAAATATATATGGACCTAACTATATATCACATACTTGTTTTACATTTAATAATGAAGGTAAAATAAAAGAGAAAGCAACTTTACCAAATTTCCTTTTCTTTAAATCTCTATACAGGTGGATTGATGGACCAAGTCTTTGGTCAGGTTGGTCTTCATATTCACAACTGAGTCAACCTGATGACAAGTCCATATGGGTGTTCCGAGAGCCTGAAAGTCTTTCTACTGTAGGATTCATGCTGGACACAAGCCATATCCGTGTTCTAAATTTCTCGATTGTTTTGGATACTCTTCAGCATTGATTCAGCCTCGGTGTGCTGTCTTGGCGCCACTCTGAAGCTGGATAGTCAATCTAAAGACTCACCTCACTGGCTTGCATAGGGGAGCGGAGCCCGTATGGAGTCCAGTAACTTGACGATTGAGAAGAGGAGAAGGCCACCGCTCTGAGCGCCCGTGTAGTCTTATGTATGGGGGATGGCCTCAGCCATCACCAGGGCTTGATCACTGATCTTTCAAGAGAGGAGCTGTATCTTGTTTGGTGGTGACAAAGGTTTTAATTCAAAATCAAACCTAGCTAAATACCAGATGGAACATATAGAAGGGAGGCCTTATCTGGGTTCTGAATGCAACATAGCGGTTGCAATGCCACCAGCCCTTGAGCATGAGAGGATTCACACCAAAGTGAAGAGGTATTTTTGTTCTAAATGTGGCAAAGCTTTCGCAGTGATGTCACGACTTATCACACATGACAGGGTTCATACTGGGGAGAAGCCATATCAGTGTTCCGAATGCGACAAAGCTTTCACAACGAAGGTAAATCTTATCAGACACCAGATGGTTCACGCAGGAGAGAAGCCATTTCAGTGTTCTGAATGTGAAAAAGCCTTTACACAGAAGTCAGAGCTTATCAGGCATATAAGATGTTTCACTCCGGAGCAAGACCATTTCAGTGTTCGGAATGTGACAAAGCTTTTACGCAAAGGTCAGATCTTCACAGGCACCAGATGGTTCACAATGAAGCAAAACCATTTCAGTGTTCCGACTGTGACAACGCTTTCAAAACCAAGTCACGGCTTATCAGACACCGGAGGGTCCACACCGGAGAGAAGCCATATCAGTGTCCTGAATGTAACAAACCATTTAGAGAGAAGTCAAACCTCAATATACACCAGAGGGTTCACACTGGAGAGAAGCCATACCAGCGCAAAGCTTTTACATCGAAGGGGAACCTTGGTAATCACGAGAGGGATCACACTAGAGAGAGGACCTATCGGTGTTCTGAATGTGACAAAGTTTTCACACGGAGGTCAAGCCTTGTCAAACACCAGATGATTCACACGAGAGAGAAACCATTTCAGTGTTCCGAATGCGGTAAAGCTTTTATAGAGATGTCAGGTCTTCTCAGACATAAGAAGCTTCACGCGGGAGCAAAACCGTACATAGAGAAGCCTTTTTGTTGTTTCTGAATGTGACCAAGCTTTTGCCCAGAGGTCCCATCTTATCAGACACGAGAAGCTTCACACCGGAGAGAAGCCGTTTCAGTGTTCCGGATGTGACAAAGCTTTTATACAGAAGACGCACCTCATCAGTCACCTGAAGGTTCACAAAGGAAACAAATCGTGTTCTGGAGTGGACAATGCTTATCAGACGCCAGAGGGTTCAATGTCTTCATCCTCAGATACATCGAAGAAGCTCTAGAAGAAGGAGGTATTAAAGGGGGAGCAGCTATGCCATTGTAGAAGAGTTTGGGTTGTCCCAGCAGTTTCACACCCCATGTTATCCAACAATCTAGTGGAAAGGTACAATGATACTTTGAAAAAACAGAACATACATTACATGATTGTCACATTTCATGAGCAAACAGGAATGTAATAGATGGAGGAATTGGATTTAGCGCTTGTGTCCACCAGGCACACCCTACAGAGCCACGGAATACGTTACCTTTTCACATACTTATTAGACAAGCTCCAATGACTGAACTGTGTTCTCCTTAATGATTCTCCTCTTTTCTTAGTTTTTTTTTTTTTGCTTTCTTATAAAACTTTGATTCAACGTGTAATTTGTTTATTTGTTTGCATCATAAATGAAATGATTTGCGTTCCCGAGTATTTTCTTTATTTCCCCACATAACACATGAACAATTCTTAGAGTAGTGGCCCACATGGAAGAAAAATATATTTTAAAAATATTCTTCCCAAATACATTGACATATATTTTAACCACTTCCCGACCGGCCGTTGCATATAAACGGCTGGACGGTGGCAGTGCAGGGTTGGGTGGCCGTTTATAAACGGCCTCCCGCACCCTGCTTGTGCGCGCTTTCTGGGAGCACGCAGCACCGCGATCCGGTGCCCGCTGTGTCCTCCGGACCTGTACGAGGTCCCGATCATGTGATCACTGATAGGCCAATCAGTGATCACATGCAGAGTAGTAATCAAGATGTCACTTGTGACATCATTGCTTACTACGTGTGAAATCTGTGAATGATCACATGGTACAGGGCCATTCACAACAGCTTTGTACCATGTGACAAGCTGTGACCAATCACAGCTCACTCACTAGTTCTCAATGGCTGCAAAACACCCGATCGTCAGAAGGGACCTCTGTACGAGGTCCCGATCATGTGATCACTGATTGGCCAATCAGTGATCACATGCAAAGTAGTAAACAAGAAGTCAATTGTGACATCATTGCTTACTACGTGTGAAATCTGTGAATGATCACAGAGGTCACATGGTACAGGGCTATTCACAACAGCCTTGTACCATGTGACAAGCTGCGACCAATCACAGCTCACTCAGTACTTATCAATGAGTGCAAGAATGCAGCCAGAGAGAAGGAGAAATGATTGCTTTTACATCCTATATGGATGTAAAAGCAATCAGTGTAAAAAAAAAAAAAAAATGTCATCACCCCCCACAAGTAGTACAGTGTCACCATGATGACACTGTATGCTAGGGTGACATTATGTAAAAAAATATGAAAAAATAAAATTAAAATTAAAAAAAAATGTTTAAAAATTATAATTTTTGGTTATAAATTTGGATTTTTTTTTTATACTAAAAAGATAACGGAATACATTTTGGCTGAGATTTATGATGAAATATTATTTATTTGCAAACTTTTATAAAAAAAAAACTTTTTTTCAAAATGTTTGGACTTTTTCATTTACATAGCAAAAAAAATAAAAAATCCCAGCGGTGAATAAATACCACCAAAATAAAGCTTTATCTGTCTCAAAAAATTTGTAAAAAATTCATATGGGTACAGTGTTGCATGACCGCGAATTGTCATTCAAAGTGTGATAGCGCTGAAAGCTGAAAATTGGCCTGGTCAGGAAGGGGGGGAAAGTGTCCGGACTGGAAGGGGGGGAAAGTGTCCGGACTGGAAGGGGGGGAAAGTGTCCGGACTGGAAGGGGGGGGGAAAGTGTCCGGACTGGAAGGGGACTGAAAGTGTCCGGACTGGAAGGGGGGGAAGCGTCCGGTCTGGAAGGGGGGGAAAGCGTCCGGTCTGGAAGGGGGGGGGAAGCGTCCGGACTGGAAGGGGGGAAAGCGTCCGGACTGGAAGGGGGGGGAAAGCGTCCGGACTGAAAGGGGGTTAAAGCGTCCGGACTGGAAGGGGGGGAAAAAGCGTCCAGGACTGGAAGGGGGGGAAAGTGTCCGGACTGGAAGTGGTTAAATACTACAATTTTGGCCCATATTCAATATATATATATATATCTGTATGTTTGCATGTTCTCCCTGTGCCTGTGTGGGTTTCCTTTGGGTACTCTGGTTTCCTCCCACACTCCAAAGACATGCTGGTAGGTGAATTGGCTCCTGTCTAAATTGTCCCTAGTATGTATATGTATGAATGTGAGTTAGGGACCTTAGATTGTACGCTCCTCGGGGGGCGGGGACTGATGTGAATGTACAATATATATGTAAAGCGCTGCGTAAATTGACGGCGCTATATAAGTACCTGAAATAAATAAATATGTTGAAATGCGTTTTTATATATTTTCAAAATATATGATAAATATTTTTAAAAAATATATATATTTTAATATATATTCTTCAGATTTTTTTTTTAAATATATAACAAAGTCATTTTTACATATATTTGTAAATGAATTGCAAAAATGTAGATTTGTATTTTTAAAGACACACAGTATATTTTTTTCAATGTATTTTTAAAATATTTTTCATATCTTTTGTAATATATAAAAAATGCATTTCAAAATTCTGTGTGTGTGTATATATGGTGAATACGGCCCCCCCAAAATTGTAGTATTTCAAAAATATGTTGATATCTTTGGGAAGAATATTTTTAAAATTTCATTTCACATATATTTTTTTTCCATGTGGGGGCCAAGTTCCATTTTGCCAAGCCTCTGCAGCCAAGCTTGAGGGGCACCAGGTAAAGCTGGCTGAACACTGACATTTGATTGGTTCAGCAGGTACTGGGATGAATTCTGATTAGTGCGTGGCCATCCCTGCTGGAGAGACGTTGATCTGTGGTTGACGTCTGTCAAAAGGGCCATGTTGGGAAAACTTTTCTCAATCGCCGTCAATCGATGTATTCTGACAGGAGAAGGTGCTGTGGTCTGTACACAAAGTGTCATCATGGGGGATTCCTTCATCCTCCTTATCAGTGTGTATAGAGGAAACAGCCAGAAAAAACTATCAATGTGTGGCCAACTGAAGAAGACCATCCGGTCCATGCCTTCCATTGCAAAAAATGTTCCCTCTCTGCTGTGACAAGAGCACCCCAGGCAGATCTGTGACTTGAACACCATCTGAGGAGGAGGTCGCTGTCTGGTGAAAAAGGTGCTCCCTATGCTTCCTTACATCTACCACTTAAATGCCTGTTGGGCTCATTGGGTTTCATTGGTGTCGGGAAACGTACTTGTAGGGAGTGGAGACTAGTGGTTGGAAACTGCAGGATAGGCACAGTTTTAGTGAAACAGGGAAACCAAGTAGTGCTGATGCATGATCACAAGGCAAGTATGGAAATTACAAGGCAAATATGGGGATCACAAGGAAAGTATGGGGATCACAAGGAAGTATGGAAAACTTACAAGGCAATCTATGGGGATCACGAGGCAAATATGGGGATCACGAGGCAAGTATGGGGATCACGAGGCAAGTATGGGGATCACAAGGCAAGTATGGGGATCACAAGGCAAGTATGGAAATTACAAGGCAATATGGGGATCCGAGGGCAAGTATGGGGATCACGAGGCAAGTATGGGGATCACGAGGCAATTATGGGGATCACAAGGCAAGTATGGGAATCACAAGGCAAGTATGGGAATCACAAAGGCAAGTATGGGGATCACAAGGCAAAGTATGGGAATCACAAGCCAGGATCAGCTCAAGTGGTAGAGAAAGATCTTTAGAGTCACAAGTTGGGGTCCATGCAGGCAGCGGTGAATCAGAGTTGAGGTCACAAGGCAAGGTCCTTGCAGACAGCAGTGAATCAGCTGACATTCACAAGTCGAGGTAGATGCAGGCAGCAGATAATCAGCGTTCAGGTCACAAGTCAGGGTCCCATGCAGGCAGTGGTGAATCAACGTTGAGGTCACAAGTCGGTGTCCATGTAGGCAGCAGTGAATCAGTGTTGAGGTCCATGCAGGCAGCAGTGAATCTAACTTTTGTTGAGTTCACAAGGCAGGGTCCATGCAGGCAGCAGTGAATCAGCTCACATCACAAGTCAAGGTAGATGCAGCCAGCAGAGAATCACATTGAGGTCACAAGTTGGGGTCCATGCAGGCAGCAGTGAATCAGCGTTGAGGTCACAAGTCGGGGTCCATGCAGGCAGCAGTGAATCAGAGTTGAGGTCACAAGTCGGGGTCCATGCAGGCAGCAGTGAATCAGAGTTGAGGTCACAAGTCGGGGTCCATGCAGGCAGCAGTGAATCAGCGTTGAGGTCACAAGCGGGGGTCGGTGAAGGCAGCAGTGAATCAGAGTTGAGGTCACAAGTCGGTTTTGTCCATGCAGGCAGCAGTGAATCAGCGTTGAGGTCAGAAGTCGGGGTCCATGCAGGCAGCGGTGAATCAGCGTTGAGGTCACAAGTCGGTGTCCATGCAGGCAGCAGTGAATCAGTGTTTGAGTCCATGCAGGCAGCAGTGAATCAGTGTTGAGTTCACAAGGCAGGGTCCATGCAGACAGCAGTGAATCAGCTCACATCACAAGTCGAGGTAGATGCAGCCAGCAGCAGAGATCAGCATTGAGGTCACAAGTTGGGGTCCATGCAGGCAGCAGTGAATCAGCGTTGAGGTCACAAGTCGGGGTCCATGCAGGCACCAGTGAATCAGTGTTGAGGTCCATGCAGGCAGCAGTGAATCAGTGTTGAGTTCACAAGGCAGGGTCCATGCAGACAGCAGTGAATCAGCTCACATCACAAGTCGAGGTAGATGCAGCCAGCAGAGAATCAGCATTGAGGTCACAAGTTGGGGTCCATGCAGGCAGCAGTGAATCAGCGTTGAGGTCACAAGTCGGGGTCCATGCAGGCAGCAGTGAATCAGAGTTGAGGTTACAAGTCGGGGTCCATGCAGACAGCAATGAATCAGCTCACATCACAAGTCGAGGTAGATGCAGCAGCAGAGAATCAGCATTGAGGTCACAAGTCGGGGTCCATGCAGGCAGCAGTGAATCAGCGTTGAGGTCACAAGTCGGGGTCCATGCAGGCAGCAGTGAATCAGTGTTGAGGTCAC